GTTGAGTTCATTTGCACAGTTTTTACACAGTTTTTCATTTGTGAGTTTTTACACAGTTGATTTTTTGTGTGTGTGCAAAGGAACAAACTGACTAGGAGCACATCCCGATAGCTGGAAAGGAAAATGAATTATCCTTAGGAATTATCCACAGGAAGGGAGTCCTTGTCCGTGCAACCAGAAGACAAACACGACCAAAACTTTTCATCTTATCAATTTACTCGATACCCGTGCTTCGATACGAAACTATGTAATTGGGTTTAGTTTGGGGGGGGGGGAAATAAGGGGGGAAAAAATTCTGCCTCTGCCTACTAGCATCCGTCGGTATCCATCTGGCTAGTGTCCTGTCAGTGTGTGAGAGAGTTGAGGGCTGTTTGGAAAAAGAGCTGGATCACCTCTTGGTCCCCTTACCCAGCTCCAATGGTAAACAGAGAAACTCTGCTTAGTGGCGTGCACGCCGATCCCCGTCCAAACCTCAGCTCAGACCTGAATCATTTCCTGCCTTGCCCTCTTAACCAAACAAATTACGGGCCATAACCGGTGCTGCTTGGACCCGCCACAAGCCGTCATAACAAGCCATTATCGCCAGAATGAGTACTTTGGCCTGGCATTGCCCCTTGTTTGAAGACAAACAAGAGAATAATTAAACGCCTTCCCTGTTCTGCAACTCCCCCCCCCTGCACACATATTGTGCCAATTTGGGGAAACTGAGGCAGAGAACAGGGGGGAGGGTGAGATATATTTCCCACTCATTGACCGTTAGAGGCACCCACAAATGGTCACTTTGTCATAACAGGACAACATAGCATCCTTCTGTTTATTTTTCTGGTGAAGCTGTCAGGCCCTTTCCTTAGCAACCCCGTTCAATCCGTCTTTAATTTCCAGGAGAGAAAAACAACCACCCTTATCAAACTACACCCTGATAAATATCATAGTAGTCATTCAGTTTATAAAGGAGGAAGAGGACTAGTAAAGACCAGAGCAGTCTGCCTGTGTTAGCACAACAACGGATTCAGTCCTACCAGGGAGCAAATTGCATTTGAAAGTTGTAGTACTCGCTATTTTATTCATTATAATACTATTAAGGGAAAGTGTTGGTTCAGTTTGTGCAGCCCTAACTCTGCTGTCTTTTAGACTTTAAAAAAAACTGGAGGGAAAACATTTAAAAACTTTGAAAGGTTGTCGATTTGCAGTTTTACTATTGCCTTTTGGGTGTAGGTTTTCAACCCTCTTTGGAAGCTGTTTTGAGTTTACTTGTGAATGGGCAATGCTAATAGAATTTATAAAATCCACCAGGTGGGGAAAAAAAATACAGGTAAATCAAGCCAGGTTGTGTTGTTGTTGTTTTTTTTACCAGTTCTAGAAGGAATTTTGAAATTGACAAGCCCCAGTGTGAAATTGACTAGAGAACGGGCATCTTCTTCCCATCTAAACAAAGTGCAGAGCCGATTCAGAATTTAGTTACCTTTTTCCCATAAAAGTTTCTCCCACAAGTCTGAGACTGTTTCCAAACATGCTATTTATATGACAACTGAATTCAAGAGCTCCATTCTTCTTTCCAAGAAAGAGTTCTGGACCCAATACATCTTTGAGCGACTGCTTGCAACTCAGCAGTTATTTTAGTCTGTCAAATTCCCCTCTTTTTTCTCTCTCTCTCTCTCTGCTTCGCCTTGTTCTGAATCATGATCCTTAGCAGAAACTGTTTCCTGGGAGAATAAGACTGGTTCCTTAGTCATGCTGAGATCAGTGTTTCTGCTGCCGCTATGAATAATAGTTTAAAGGGCGTGACGTAGAAAAAGATTGTGGATTCTCTTGAACACCTACGAATGTGCTCGCCTATGCGCTCAGCCTACGTGCTTCTGGACTAGATGAAAACTAAAGCAACAGATTACGCTCAAATATTTTGGGACCCGACATGGAAACCAAGTCCTATGAGGAGTGGGTTGAAGAACCCAAGCGAGGTTAGAAGCAGAAGAGAAGGTTGCAAGAGGCATGATAGCTTGTCTTCAAATATTCGGACAGTGAGGAGGTTGGGGAGGAACATGTGCCAGTCCTGGAGTTTGGGGAAGATTCTGACAAGTCCTCTAGAGTGTTGGAGGCAGAGGTGAGGCCAGGGCCTTCTGACATCAGCTGCCTTCAGAGTCGGACATCAGTGGGGCAGAAGAGCAGCTGGAGCCTGTTCCCAGTGTGCGCCTACACAGAGCTGCCAGAAGAAGGAAACAGCTAAGGAACAAGGGTCGACTTGGGAGTAAAGCCACAGGTGGACAATGAATAGCCCTTTCCAAAGGGAATAAAAGAGGAGCGAAAGAGGAGTGGGGTTTTGAAGGAGACAATTGGTTTATTAGGGTGCAGATCTGTTCCTGCATTCTTGCCAAATATTGTCTGCTACACTGTGGCATCTGAAAGATATCAGCCTGGCAATTCTCCAAGCCTGATAAAGGTCTGCAATTGTGGAAAATCTTGAAAGACTGTTGACCAGGACTTTGCTGGAGAGGAATTTACTGTAAACTAAATAAAAGGGGTTTATCGAGATGAGGAATGGGCTTCGTTCTGTTGGGGAAAGCCTAGGCCAGAACAGGCTGTGGACGGCTTGCGAAGGATTCAGACTTATTCTGTCCTGACCTGTAACTTGTCCTCACCTGCAATTTGAAAAGCGTGGAGATCTTCCTGAATTCCGTTTTCGTTTTCAAGTTTGGTCAGCTGCAGTTCGGTCAGGGGTAGCAAACCCTGCAGGAGGATAAAAAGTCAGCAGTTGACCTCATCTCCATGGTCAAATTGTCTTTTATCAAGTTGATGAAGGCACTTTTCATTTTCTGGATAGCAAAAATACAGTTCACTGGCAACGAAAAGACCTCAGACTATAATCTCTAAGGATGGATCTGACTTTTGCCAAGAAGGTGTCCCAGAGGGGGACATTATTCAAAGTCTACTTGGTCTAAAATTGGTGGATTGGGAACCCACTTCCTACATGGAAAAGACGCAGCAAAGAGGCTATGGAAGTGTTCAGTTCTGACTTTCAAAAATACCCTTAAAAAGCATCAACAAACAGAAGCATTTCGTTCTGCAGCCTGTGTCACTGAAATGAATCACAAATGTGAAACTTCAGTCAGTTTCCTGAAAGGTAGAGGCCAAAAAGAGGGGATGATGAACCCAAAACTTATGGAAAAACAGGGTTGCTTTAAAGCGTCAGAGATTGTCTCACAAAGGTTTGGGATGGCTTGTTTGAGCAAATTATGGTCCACCATGACTTGCTTTGGGGCAGTGGTGGCTAACCTTTTTGGGCTCTTGTGCTAAAAGTTGGGCGCGTGCTTGCATGCTCGTGCTCACGTGCCAGCACCCAGAAGGCAATGCGCGCCCCCCATCCCCCCTGCGCATGTGCGCAATTCCCACCCACCCACTCCCCGCCTCCCCCTTACCTGCACTGCGCCTCACAGCTGATTTTCAGCCAGTTTGAGGCCTTTTTCAGCCTCCCAGAGGCTTGAGGAAGGCTTCTGCAGGCTTCTGCAGGTTTGCAGGCCGAAAACTAGGCCCGTTTCGTCCACTTCCGGTATTTTTGGAAAAACAGGAAGTGATGAAACGGGGCTAGTTTTTGGCCTGAAAACTCTGCAGAAGCCTTCCTCAAGCCCCTGAGAGGCGAATAAAGGCCTCAAACCAGCCGAAAATCAGCTTTGAGGCGCGCTCATGCACAGTGAGGTAAATTTCCCTGCAGCTTGTGTGCCGGCACAAATGACTTTGCGTGCCACCTGTGGCACATGTGCCATAGGTTCGCCATCATGGCTTTGGGGTTTTCTAACGGGAAGCTTCCCATACTATGGTCAGAAACGCTAAGAATGGAAGCAGGAACCAGAGGTAGTGGTTGTTTCAAAATTATGGGTAACCAAATCCTCATTTACCTGATACTTGTGTCCGTTGGGGCCGAGTGCCTGAAAATAGAGGAACTCTTGAAAAAGCTCCAAATAGCAGTCATTGGCTTCCTGCCAAAGAAAAAAAGACATGGAGATCTTTTTTATTCATTTCAGTCAGTCTTCGGGATGCTGGCGCGCCGAATAAAGATGAAGAATTGAACGCTATGAAAAGCAGAAGAAACCAATGGGTCGCAAACGCACCGACCCAGAGGCCTTCAGAAGCTTCGGGCATCTGACATGGCATGGGGGAATCTCACCTGGCAGTGCTGAAACTTAAATTTGAGTTTGGAATAGTGGATTATTTTTCCCAGATTCCGCACCACCGTCTTCCTCCGTCCTTTCTTGAATAGGCTGGAGAAGCGCTGGTCAAAGTTTTCCTTTTCGTTCTCCTGGCTGGCAAAGTTCTGTACCAAAAATGAAAAACGCTCTTAGAAAAAGGAAAGAAGGAAGGAAGGAAGGAATGGATGGATCAATGGATGGATGGATCAATGGATAGGAGAGATGTCAGGAAGGAAGGAGGGAAGGAAAGAGGGAGGGAGGAAAGAAAGATGGAAGGGAGGGAGGGATAAATGGAAGGAATGAATAGAGGGATAGATGATGGATGGGTGGAAGGGAGAGATGACAGAGAGGAAGGAAGCAAGGAAGGAAGGAGGATGGGAGGGAAGGAGGAAAGAAAGAAATGAATGATAATGGAAGAAAGGGAAGAATAGATGATGGAAGGAAGAGATAAATAGATAAATAGGGAGGAAGGGAGGGAGGAAGGAAGGAGATGGAGGTAAGGAAGGGATAGATGGATGGAAGGAAGGAAGGTAGAAGTGATGGAGGGAGGGAAGGGAGAAATGAAATGAAGGAAGATTAGATAGATAGATAGATAGATAGATAGATAGATAGATAGATAGATAGATA